TGAGTCAGGTGGTACCCTCCGAATTACCGTATCTTTAACCGTTTAGGAGTTAGAGGTAGATATATTGAAAACAATTGCAAAAAGTCAAGTTTTAAGACTGTTTGACAAACAATATACAATCTACAATATACAATCTGCGCGTTTTTAATTCTTTAGCAAAGCAGAAGGGTGGGGTGTAGTCACGGTGTTTCCCCGTTACAGTCTTTTGTCATGTCGAAGGAGCAAATTTCTAGGGCCGCAGGCCCCCCACCGGACGCGTTAGTTTACTCAAATATGCAAAGTGATTTACCGGTCACATTATTTATTTGATTATGCACTTCGGTAAATTGCGAGACTGTAATGTAATCGCCGCCGGCAGGCCAAGCAAGCCCGGCCCCTGCCGAACGGAGTTGCCGGCGCAGCGAGGGAAGTGGAGCTGGCAACTCCGTTTGGCGGGAGGGCGGGCCTGCTTGTTTCACATAAGCTTTCCCCAAACACACTGTTTTCACCGGTACCGCGCCTCGTCCGATTCTCACCCCAGTGCGTTTTCAGGCCCTGCTGTTCGCTCGACCAAGTTCGGTCGGCTTCGGTTGTTTTAGTGTTAAATGTATTATCTGCTAAATTTTCTTAAACTGAAGTCTCTTTGTTGCAGATCTGAGCGGCAAGCAGCTCAATCTAGTCAGTGGTCACTGCCGTGACTATCTGCAAGCGGCGGCTATTGCGGAGCCTGGTTACTGTCTTCGAATGGCTCGTGTCAATGTGATGCTGAACCGCGCCCTTGTAGAGATTGTGAAGCGGACTGCTAAATTACCTCCCGCTCAGCTGGCTCTGGTATGATTATTTCAAGCCGTGGCTTCTGTAATTTAAAAGGATTTATTCTAAATTTTAAGGGACGTTTTAGAGCAACCCGACGCCAAATATTCTATATGCTTTTAGGTTGTTCTAAGTTTGTAATGACAATCAGAAACGTAAAGTAACAACCTATTCCGGATCAGCCCCTAACCCGGATCAAAATGACCTACACACGCTCTCTCTCTCTCTAAAGTGTAGTAGAGTTTTTTGGGCGAAAATTTCGTCCGTTTGGCTCTATCTCTCACCGTTTAGGCGCTGAAGCGAGTTTCTCTCCCGAAAGTGGCCCAAAAATAAATATATAAACTTTAGAAAATATTTGTTGGTCTCCTTAGGGGTAACTTGTGAAAGTAGAACCCTTTGGGCTAAAATTTTGTCCGTTTGGCTCTATCTCTCACCGTTTAGGCGCTAAAGCGAGTTTCCCTCCCGAAAGTGGCTTCAAAATAAATAAATTAATTTTAGGAAACATTTGATAGTCTCCTAAGGGGTAACTTGTGAAAGTATAGCCTCTTAGGCTAAAGTTTCGTCCTGTTTACTTACAAAAGGGAGTTTTTCTTACCAAACTGGCCAAAACAGAAATATTTTTACCTTTTCAGAAGAACACTTCTAGAAGTATGCCGTCGGTTCAAAATTTTCTTCCAAGCAGAAGAGTGGGCTTATTTTATGGTTG